GTTCTAGCGACAGAGCGTCCGCCCTGGTTTTCCTGGGAGTGCCAGCACCCTGAGTGGGCACGTGTCTGGAATTGGCATCAAGTCACAGGAAGCTGGGGAGACCTAGGAAAACCTGATGTGACACTTGACAAACTCCAAGTGACACAAAGAATGGAGATTTAGGGATGAGGCCGCTTTGAACAGAGTCCCAGATATGTCACCCACCAGCTGGGTAACCAAGTCAGGTCACTAGCTTCTCTGGGGCTATGAAAGGAAATCTCATCTGTGTACACAGAACCAGTGGGTTTTAGCTCTCATGGGTCTATGGGGACGCCTAACACAGGTACCTAACCATGTTGCAAACTCTTTAACACACCATCCAGGTACCTACCAGAACCATTCTGGCAGAGAGACTATGTGAACAAAGGCTTGGTAGCAGGCACAACTGGTCAACATCCAGGCCAGAGTACAAAACGATGACTTGATGAAGACCTGCTGCCACTAGTTTTCTTATACAGGAGCACAGCCTTGGTGGGGGCTGAGGGTGTGTATGCAGGTGCATGCCTCAGAGTCTTGGGGTGTGGTTTACAGGGGGAAGGAGGGTGGCAGAAGGGGAGGCTGGCCCAGGATAGTGTGCATGGAGGAAGTACCGAAGTCTAGTCTATCCACCGAAATCACATCAGAGGCGGCAGGAGAGGAATTGTGCCCAAGGATTAAAGTCGGTAGATGAGTGGGAAGCCAGAGCTCTGTTGTAGAAAACAGCACCCCCAAAATGACCTCTATTTGTAGCGACCCCGCAGCACACAGCAGAAGCCCCACAGGGTTCCCACAACGTGCATCTTTGCAGGCTTCCTCATCTTTCCTTTTTTATATTTTTTATTTTTTTGCCTCCTCTTCTTTTGTGAGTGGAAGGAGGAGTGGCATCCAATTCCATAATAGCTTGCCTCCGGAAACCCTATGAACTTGGAGAGAGGATGAAAGGCACCCAAGCGTCAAGGACTCTCCATAGGGTCGCTATGAGTCACGTGCGACTCGACGGCACTTAACAACAACATCAACAACTTCTTTTGTGAAGTAGAGGATGGATTCAAACCACCAACCTTTTGGCTAAGAGCTGAATTCTTTAACCACTACACCACCAGGTCTCCTATGTACTACATATCAAGAAAACCCATATTCGGCCTCTCTTCCATATTTCCTTTCAAGGAGGGAGGTCTGTCCTTTGAGGGAAGTAACCTCCTAATAAATCTATCTTTACATTTTACCTTAAACACACACACACAAACCTCCCACAATCAAGCTGAATACAACTCATAACAAGGTTATAAATCTTTACAGGAGACACCCCATCTTTCTCCCCTCAGAACAGCTGGTGGATTCAAACCACCACCCTTTCAAGAAACAGCCCAACATATTATGAACAACACCACCAGGACATGCTGAGTGCTCTGCATAATGAGTGTCACTGAAGCTTCCAATAAATGTGTGTAGTGGGACCAGTGTAGGAGGGGTAACAGACGCCAAGAGAGGTGAAATCAGTTGTATAGGATCACATAGCTGGTATGTGGCAGAGCTGGGATATGAATCTGAGTCATTCTAACTCTAGATTCTATTCTCTAAGCTATGTTTGGTAACTTGGAAGAGGAAAAGAGCAGAGATAATAAAATAAGCAGTCACTATGTGCCAAGACTTTGTGTCGTAGAACTTAATCCTCACCAATCCCCATAAATCAGACTAAATCAAATCAAAGTCCCAAGCACTGAGTCAATTCAGACTCAGCAACAGAGTAGAACTGCCCCATTTGGTTTCCAAGACTATAAACCTCATCTTTCTCCCATGGGGCAGCTAGTGGGTTCAAACCACCGACCTTTCAGTTAACAGCTCAATACTTAACCTTACTATGCTACCAGAACTCTTCATCAATCTCCACAAGGCAATATTTTCACTCAAATCACCATAGAAAAAATTTAAATCAGAGAGATCCACATTTACAAAAGTTGAGAGAAAGAAAGAAAGAGAGAGAAAGAAAGAAAGAGAGAGAGAGAGAAAGAGTGACAGAGAGACAGAAAGAAAAAGATTCCCAGAAGTTGAGCACTTTCCCAAGTGGCACAGCTAATAAAGAGTGGGGCCTGCATCCATGTAAGAGAAGCTGGTGTCAGAGGACAACCCAGAGCTAAGAACGAAGCAGGGAAAGTGGAGGTGAGCGATGGGAGATGATTCAGAGGGAAGCTGCTGGAGGAGTGGGTAGGACACTGAGACCGGGGGTGACTAGGATCAAGTGATGACATCCTCCCACCGACGGCACAGAGCAGTGGTCAGGAGAGGCACTTGTTTGTGGTGAAACAAAGCGCTTCATTTTCAGAACTTAAAGTTTGCTTTTTATGTGTCTCTATCTCTCATCCTTGGCTGTGCTAGGGCACATTTCAAGCTTAAGGCTCTCTTGGTTCCACCAAGGGCACGGCCCTGTGCACATCTCAACCACCCCATCACTGTGTAACTCAAGTACAGAAGAGTGGAACCAGACCACCGAGTGCTAATCTCAAACTCTCCCATTTCCTAGTTGTGTGGGCTTGGGATATGTCAGAACCTGTGAGACTCAGTTTCCTCCTCTAAAATGGGAGTGGGATAGCCTCCTTCATAGGGCTATCATGCCCTGTACAATGCTTCCAACAGTGCCTGGTACACAACGGAGCTCCAAAATGGTTAGCTGGTTTGGGGGTTATTGCTTTGGTTAGTGAAGAGGCAGTGATCCAGGGATCCAAAAAATGTTCTTGGCCAAGAGTCCACCTCAGGATGTTGGGCACAGGATTCTCAGATGGGGCTTTCCTTTTCTTACTGTGGACCTGGGGACACTCCCCACCTATCCCCATCCTAGACTTCTGCTGAGGACAGGCAAAGTGGCCCAGGGTGGGATTCTTGGGTGCATCCAGTGACTGAGTTGTCCCCACTGCACCATCCACCCCCAGTGGGGACGTTGAGTCCCACCAGCCACCCCTCAGCGTGGCCGAGGAAAAGAAGGGGCACTCACACTCCACAGAGAGGTTGAAGGCAGTGGCCCTCTGGCCATATTGGTTCTCGGCCACACACCAGTACTCTCCGTCATCTTCTGGTGTGACCGCTGGCAGCTCCAGCTGCAGCTCACTCTCGTAGATGACCGTGGCTAAGATCTGCTTCTCCTTGAAGATGGTGAGAATGGGATCCGGATTGCTCTGTGTGGAGCACAAAATGGACACCGTCTCCCCCTCAACGGCCACCACTGTCCCGTTCACCGTCGGCTTCCAGGGTGCATCTAGTGGGCAGGAGGATCAGGAGTCAGAAGGTGCCCCTTTTGTCAGCCAGTCCCCACCCCTAAATGAACTCCAGATGCCCCGAACCCAGCAGAGCGCATGCATGGTCAGGCTGCCCCAGGTCAGGCATGCATGGTCAGGCTGCCCCGGGCCCAGCTGAGTGCATGCATGCTCGGGCAGCGCTCGGCCTGGATGTTTACAGGAGCAAAGTGGTGCTGTGTAGCTGGAAACCCTGGATTTGAATCACAGCTTCCTCGTCTCTCAGCTGTGTGTGAATATGTGACTTAACCTCTCTGGGCCTCTATTTTGCCAGCTGGAAAATGAGCTCCATAACAGTTCCAACCTCACACAGATGGCCATTCAGTATTTACTAACCAGCAGGAGCTGAACAAAGTGGATAGAGAGCATTGCCATGTGGGTGGGTGTTGAGTGTTGATGTTGTTATGTGTCATTGAGTTGGTAGCGACTCATAGCTACCCCTCCAGTGAGTTTTCAGAAGCAGTAAATCACACAGGAGAAGAATACCCATCTTTCTCCTGAGGAGCAGCCAGTGGATTTGAACCACCTGCCTTTGAGTTGGCATCATAACTCCTTATCCACTATGACACAGAGCTCCAAAGTTCCCTTGACATCATACATTGTGTACCATTGAGTTGGAACCAACCCATAGCTGACCTGCTAGCAAGTTTTTACTATTTTTAGAGACAGTAAATTGCACAGGTGATTGCCTACCTTTCTCCCTCAGAGCAGCTGGGGGATTAGAACCATATACTTTTGCGCTGGCATCACAATTCCTTACCATAAGCCATTATATAAGTGAATAAAATATTATCGTTGGAAATATGGAGATGATTTAGAAAGAAAAAAAAAGGAACGTTGGTATTGTGTGATTGTCAAGTAGGATCTGACCATGTGGATGGACATTATGTGCTGACGTTGTTGTTATGTGTCATTGAGATGGTACCGACTCATAGCTGACCCTCCACTGGGTTTTCAGAGGCAGTAAATCACTCAGGAGGAGATGGCCCCCATATTCCTCCCTCAGAGCCGCTGGTGGATTCATAGCGCATACTCTCAGTTTGGTAGAACAGTTGGTTGCTGCATTACCAGAGAGGCCACATTCTAGAGTGGTAAAGGAAGGTTCACTGAGACTAGAAGGTGAGAAGGGTGGAAGCCCAGCCTGAGATGCTTCAGGATAAATAATTGTGGAAGGCACCCAGGCAGTGTGAGCCGTGGCTGTCCTTATTATTCCACTTTGCCTTATAAATACTCCATGGTTCTCAGCTAAGAGTCCTGTCCTAACCAGACCTTCCTCCCCCATCCAGTCATACATATGTGCACACACTAGGTGACAGGAGGCCTGAGTTTCTCTCCAAACTCCTATTGCTGTATCACATGAGGCTTTTTAAAAATGCAGATTCTTGGGCCCTGGCCCAGACCTCTTGCATCAAAACCATGGCAGTCCCTAGAACACTTCCACTTTATCCTCAAATAGAGGAAAGATGAAGAGGTGCTAGAGGTGGAGGGTGGCGAATGAATGAACATATTGACCCTCCTCTCCATCTTCACCTGGATGACACCTGTTACCCTCTCAAGGAGAGGAGACCCTCGTCTTATCTCTCCACTGCAAGGCCTTCTAGGTCACAGGGTGCGGGCCACTCACACATGACGCTGAGTTCCACGGTGCGGTTGTCCTGGCCATAGGCGTTCTCGGCCAGGCAGGCGTAGACGCCATCCTCCCCTGGGGTCACCTCTTCCAGCTCCAAGACCAGACTCTCGGCCACAGCCTCCCGGAGAACCGTCCCGTCCCGCATCCAAGTCAGCAGTGGGGGCGGGTTGCTGTCGGCCCCACAGAGCAGGCTGACGTGGGAGCCCTCGATGGCCTCTACGGAGGAGTTCATCTCCACAATCATGGGGGGGTCTGAGGCCGGTGACACAGCAGGGTCATAGGCTGCGGCCTCAGAGCCTGCCTGGGCCCCGCCCCATCCTCAACTGGATCCAGGGCCAGCCGGCCGACCACGCCCCCGACCCAGCCTCGGCCCGCCAGGCCACGCCCAATGCCCTGCCCCGGGCCCCCTCCCATAACCACGCCCCACACTCAACTTCGGGCCCCCGCCAACCCTGGCCTGCCAGGTCCCGCCCCACTCCCACCTGCGGGCCCCTCCCACAACTACGCCCCCGACCCAGACCCAGCCCTCCAGGCCACGCCCTATGCCTGACGTCCCGGGCCCCTCCCACAACCACGCCCCCGAACCAGCCCCGGCCCGTTAGGCCACGCCCCATACCCACCCTAGGGCCCCTCTTGGCCCCCTAGGCCACGCCCCAGGCCACGCCCCACTCCACCCTCAGACCACCAGCCATGCCCCGTCTCCGCCCTCGAGCCACCAGTCCCTCCCTCAGTCCCGTCTAGGCGGTCGCGCCCCCGTCAGCCCGCCCTTCGACCTGCAACCGGGCTCACATTTGACGTCTAGGCTGGCATAGCCCTCGAACTGCAAGCTGGTGTTGGGGAAGGAGGCCTGGCAGCCCAGCCGGTGGCCGTTGGCCTCCCTGGTGGGCACGAAGTGCAGGAGCGACACCTGGACCCAGGTGCCCTCGTCCTCCCGCAGCCGGCCCAGCACAGCTGGCTCCCCGATCTCTTCGTGGCCCAGCCAGCCGAGCTCTGGACGCAGTTCTGGGCAGTTGTCCGGCACCATGCAACTGACCTCCACCTCCGTGCCTGCCACCACCTCAGGGGGCACCACAATGTTGGGGGTGTCTGTGAGAGGTGAGAAGAAGGAAGGACGCGACAGGGAAGCCTCATTGTCCAACTCCATTTCTGGCACCTCACCTCTTGCTCAGTCCCTGGACTCAGAGCCCCTGGTCATTTTCTCCTTAAGGTCATCCTTCACCTGGAAGCCCTCCAGAGATCCCAGAGAGATGAGATAATAATGAGAAGTAGCAACACAGCAGGCTGGTTAAGTTTTGCTTAGTCCTTCCCACACTGCTGGAAGTTGGGCACTACACATCCCAGATGCACAAGAAACACCAGGCCACAGCCAGAACCTGGATGAACTGAACTCCCAACCTTGTCACTGCGATCTCAGGGTCTGTGCTCTTGCTCCTGTATTTTATTCCTGAAGAAGGTTTACCGTGTGTGTGTGTGTGTGTGTGTGTGTGTGTGTAAGAGAGGGAAAGAGAGAGATACTCTTAGGGTCTATCTCCTTCTGCACCTGGGTTGCCATCTGTTGCCTCAGGTGGACCTGAGAGCCAAAGATATCCCTCAGATGCACTTTGTTTGGCCTAGATGACTTTAAAAAAAAATAAATAAACATTGGAATCAGTATTCAAGAGTAAAATATTATCCCTCTGGATGGCCTAAATTTTTAGGTTTGGACTGCTGCCCCAAGGATTGACAGTTCAAACCCACCCACAGGCACCTCAGAAGCCCATCCACTTCTGAAAGGTCACAGCATTGAAAACTCTACACCCCACAGACTGGAATGAACCCCACAGAAGCTCACAATAACACTACATACACAATACACAATTTTTACACACTCTGAGCACTTGACGATCTATTGAATGAAGTTTTTTTCAAACGAGCAAAAGAGGACATGAATGTCCAAGTTAACTAAGGAATTTACCCAAGATGATGCCACTAACACAAGGATCCAGAGCTGTGGGACCCCACCAACAGCATCCCAGATGTTTCTAGAAGAATTAGAGCATCCATTTTCCCCAGGACAGGAAGCTCTTTGGGGCCATCTTTGCTGATTTTTGTCGTGTCCACCGTCTGTGTGGGCACGGAGGTTAAACTGCTAAACTGAGTCCAGACCTCCCAGGGAAGGACGCTTCCTGCTGCATCCCCTGGTGAACCCCATACTGCCCCTGAACTCCCGAGTTCCCACACCATCTCGAGGGAGACTCACTGATGATGTCCAGGACGCTGTGCTCTGAGAAGGTGTACTGGTTGTAGCCCCCTAGGTCTCCCCGGAAGTAGTACTTGCCGCCCAGCTCCGGGCTGAGGTTGCTGAGCAGAAGGGTGCAGTTGCGCAGGCCCAGGTCGCCCAGGAGGCGGCTGCGGCCCTGGAAGCTCTCATGGACAACTTGTGTGCGAGACTTGAAGACCACCGGCGGATAGTTCTTGGGATAGGGGCTATTGAAGTACCAGACACCATGCACCACGGCAGGCCGCAGCTCGTCTGGGAAGTCGAAGCGGCAGGGGATGGAGACGCATGTACCCTCGAAGGCCGAGATGGACGAAGGCATCCAAGCGCCCCAGTGGCCCCCTCGAGAGGCTGCTTGAGCAAAAACGCGAAAGCTGAGGGACATATTCCCACCCAGTTCCCTCCTCCCACTCCCACCATCTCCCACCAGCCTGTTGGCATGAGAATACATAAGAACATCTCCAGTTGCTCAAGAGTCAAGGCCCCTGGCTCCCCAGCACCCCCTTTCTCCTGCCATTACCTGAAATCATGATCCAAAACAGGGGCAGCGCCGTGAGGAATATCATTTTGTACAGCAAGTGAGCACTTCCTATAAGAGGCGAGGAGAAGGTTGAAGGTCGGATGAAAGAGATACTTCCTTCACAACCTGCCGCCACCACTGTTATTATTATAATAACACGCGAATATGCCATTAGCCAAGGGCCCTGCTGATACTGACTTTTAGTCTCCTTGAAGTGGTTGCAATGGTTATTTTATAGCTGCAGCCCATCAAGTAACTTGCCCAAGGCCACACAACTGTTGAGTAACAAGATAGGATTCAAGTTTAAGACTGTCTGGTTCCTGCAAGAGTCTTCACCACAAAGCTGTCCTATCTCTACTTGAGACTAATTTTCTTCATCCCTGTTACTCCTGGGGAGGGGATTTCCAGAAAGGAAAGCCAAAGCTGGACCAGTGGGAAGCAGGGAGCAAGGCAGGGAGGAGCAAGGGAGAGCTGCAACTGGCCCTCACCTCAGTGGCCCTGAGCTGGGAGTGTCTTCAGATCCCACTTGAAGGTCAGCCAGCCAACCTAGAACCAGGGAGGGTGATGCTGGCATCCACCCCCCTTCCCCAGCCTGTTGTTAAAGCCACCAGCATGGCCTCTATGACAGCTTGGGACCCTCCCACACAGCCTCACAGCCACTCTACACAGCAGCCAGCCATCCTGGAACAGAAAGTGGGAGAACTGTAGGAAGAGAAGGACAGAGCAGCAGGCAGCTGCTGGCCGTGCGGTGTAGTGAGTGGGGTGAGAGAGCAGCTGTCCCACGGCTGAGCCCTGGGGGTGGCAGGCAGGTCCCATCAATGACTGGGTTTCACAGCATCAGCATTCCCAACATGCCGTGTGAATTCCTGCCGCCCTCTCCCTCCCCACAGACAGCCCCTGATGTCCCCAGCCTCCACAGAAGTCAGTGCCCCCTTACAAAAGGGCCCTGTTCCCTCAGGGTGAGGCTGCCTCATCCCAGGGGACTTCTAGGGTAAGTGGGGGTGGCAGTGAGGGAGGAGGCAGGAACTTCTGGCCAGGCCAGTGGGCCAGGAAGGACTGAAGTGGGGGTAAGTGAGCTGGTCATGGTGGGGTGAAGCCAGGATTTCCAAATGGCTGCATTTCCCCGCCCTCTCCACCCTCTTCCCAGGCACACAGATGTGTGCAGTCAAACAGACACACGCAAACACTGGTGTGAAATGTGACAGATTCTGATCCAGCCAATGGGAGCTTATACAACAGAGGCTGAGTCTGACACTCGGACAGGGATTGGTCCTGGGGTCCCTTTACCCACAGCCAAATGCAGATTATACAAGGTCACAGGTGCACACCTTGACTACCCTGTCACCCATCCAACCACACCTGACAGACATGGAGACATGGATAATACGGTGTTCACATTCTCTCTCTCTCTCTCTCTCTCTCTCTCTCTCTCTCTCTCACACACACACACACACACACACACACACAGATGTACAGACACCAACAGATGTAGCTGGATACATGATCCACCCACACATGCCTAAAACGTAGTCATTCAGATGGATATGTGGCAGGCTCACACACCTATGACAGGAAGAAGAAAGGAAAAACACAGAGGGTCAGACACACAGCCTGGATTGACATGTGAACAGGCACCTAGACGACATAGTCTTAATAGGGGTACATGCTAGGTTTTGGAATGGGTTCATTTTGAGGTGTTACAATGACATTTTAAAGAGCCCCAGTATGTAAGCATATATCCAATATATCTGTAGTCTTCAATTTGCATGATGAGGACAAGGAGCAATTTGAAGGAAAAAAAATGTCTAGGAAGTTTCCTTGAAAAACAAAACAAAATAAACTATTGCCATCAAGTCAAAGTTGACTCATAGCAGCCCTCAATTGGGTTTCCAATGCTGAGTATCTGAAGAGGAGCAGACTGCAGATCAGTTGATGGATTTGAACCACCAACCTTCCAGTTAGTCACCCACTCTGCCAGACAATGATATAGAAATGGTTGTGAAACGATGCTATACACTAGATCTACACAGGGGAGGTGCATGTGAGAACTCTCTCTGTGTCTCTGTTTCTGTCTCTCTCACTCTCTCTCACACACACACTCACACATCCTTATTTGGCCCATCCACAGTCTGTCCCCACTCATTCCCTAGACGGTAGGATGTAGGTGTCTGATCACCTGGCCCTCCTTCTGCTCTTCACCCAGGCCCAGAGCACTCCAGTACCCGCTTGTCTAGAATGGAGGCTTCAGGTCAGCTGTTCCCACAGAACCTCCACCTACATGGAAGGCTGAGGAAGGCGACTCATTACTTCCTTCTGTGGTTTCTTCCCATGGCCCAGTCAATGTCCCTGTTATGTCCCCAGCTCATCTCCAAAGCGGTCCCAAAGCCACTAACTTCATATAGTGGCAGTTCACAGTGACCAGCCTCCCTCTGGATCCTCTCACCGTGCACATGCTCTGGTTGCCCGTCCCTTTCACCAGCACTCTCCCCGATGCATACTCAGCACTCACTTGGATGTCTTGCTTCTGCACCCTCTGCTCAGCTCCCAGTCCCCTGGCCTCCCAGGGTCTAGGCCCACACTTGCAGGCCCCTCCTCTCCCCCCTGGGTGCCAGGGGCCGCCTGCCTCCAGGGCCCAGCTCCTCCCTGCCCCCGGGGGAGGGGGGCACAAAGGGCCCTTGTCACCACGGGGCTCAGACTGGGCAGCCTGACGCCTGGGTTCCACTAGCTCCTTCCTGGAGGGGCCTGGGGAGGGGGATGGCTGCCTTACTCATTCCTGGCTCCTCCATCCCCCTGCACTTCAATCCTGAGTCTCAGGAAGGGGGCTTCTAATCCCTCAGGTTGAGCACGGAAGTCTTTGTCCTTGGCTCCTGGCAAATCTTGATGATAGTGTTAGGTACCATCCTGAGAAGTGAACAGAGACCATTGTGGGCAGATGGGAGAGACAAGACCTTCCCACTCAGTGTCACCTCCTGTCTCTCTAGAGTCACTTCTCCACTACTCTTGGTCCATGCATCCTAGTTTCTTTTACTCTAGGTCTCAGTGCCATTGGAAATGACCCTCTGTGTTAACTGCCTCCTCTCTGGAGAACACACCTGAGGCAGGCACTTTGTTTTATCCAGCCTGCCCAGGCTGGTAGAACAGCTCTGAGCACAGAGCTGAGCTTAGCAAAGAAGAGATAGACAGATGGATGAGGCCCTCAAACAGCATGTAGCAACTACTGCCTCCAGACCTTTGCACACGTTGCCCTTTCTGGAAACTCTCCCCACCCCATTCTGCTCCTCACTTTGCCAAGGGCCTCAGCCTAATGCTCTCGAGTTCAGGTGCCACCTGTTCAGAGAGTTGTCCCCTCCGCCACTCAAGCTCCTCTGCTGAAATGCTGTCTTTTCTTTCCAGATCTCTCAGCTGCTGAGCCATTTGTCCCCCCAACATACAGCTCCCAAGGGTGGATTTTCTCATTGTCTGTCCTGTTTGCCATTGTGTCCCTGAGAACAGTGCCTGGTGCAGAGAAGGTTCTTGGCAAAGGCTGCTGTGACTTCTGGGGGCATGAAGACCCTCTGGACAAATCCCATCATGATCCTACGGCCGCCTCTCACTGTGCAGAGGTAGGACGGGGGAGGGGACATAGCATGATGGCATGTCAGGAGCTATCTAGTCACACAGGCGTGTCTTCTGTCTTTCTCCCTGGTCAAAGCAATGGGGAGGGAGAGAGGGTCCCTTCTTCCCAAGGGGAACCCAGGAAGGAGGGGTAGGGAAATCCCTGGGACCAGGGAGTAAGGAGGGGGGTCAGGAGGGGGAGGGATGTTCTACCCCCTCCTCAGGCATCATGATGTCAGCCTCAGCCTGTGCCTTTCCCATTGGGACAAAGGCCCATTGAGAGTGAGGAGGGGCTTGAACACATGGGTCCTGGAGAAGAGAGGGGCCTGGCATCCAGGCTTGGGTGAGGATGACCAGATCCTGGGTGTCGAAGCCAGCCCATCTCTTGGGGGAGGCGTCAGTGCAGTTTGGGACACCATCTCCTCTGGGTGTAAACTGAAGGTGGCTCCCAGGACAAAGGGCACAGGCCCACGGATCCCGATGAAATCAGCAATGGCACCCACCCACCACTGCCATTTCCAGCCTCCAGACCCCAGAAGAGGGGCAGATGGAGTGAGGGCTCGGTGAGCAGGCATGCATTCTGTCAAAGATAACTAACACCTATACATCCAGCTGCCATACTGCTACATCTTATCTTTCTGGAGAAGGCTCACAACCAGAATTTTAGTAAAGTGTCCTAAATTTGAGGATTAAGTTTTGACTGCAACATTGTAGTTGTTATGTGATGTGCCAACTCTTAGCAACCCTATGAACAACAGATCTGAAACCTACCCTATCATGTACCATCCATCCCACTATCTCTGACACACTCCAGCCTACTGCTATGGTCAGTCGTTCTGGTCAAGGGTCTTCCTCTGTTACACTGAACCTCCACCTTTCCAAGCATGATATCCTTTTCATAGGCTAGCCCCCTCCTGACAGCATGCCCAAAGTCTGTGAGATGAAGATTTATCACACTGGTTTAATATTCTCCAAGGCTTGTTCTCTTGGAGATATCCATGGGATATTCTGTACTCTTCTCCAACACCACAAGTTCGATTCTTCTTCTGTACCATCGTAGGGATGAAGAAAAGCCCATCCCCGAGCAGCATCAAATCCTCAGGTCTACCTCGGTGGAAGCTGGATCTTGAGCCAACCAAGAGCCACTTGTTGCTAATCCAGAGGCACAGGACCATGGTCTTCAAAGTGTGCTTCCTAGCCAAGCAGCCCCAGTATCATCTGAGAATCTGTGACAAATGGAAGTTTGCAGCCCTGCCATCCTTCATCTACTGAACTGGGAATTCTGAACATGGGGTCAACAATTTGCATTTTAACAAGCCTGCTGAGAGTTGCTGATACCTACTGAAGGCTGAGGAAATCTGTATCACCTTCATTTGAACTAAAGTGTGGGAACCTTTTTGTCTCCCTACCTAGACCCACCTTAGAGAAACTGCTTGCTAAAATGTGAAGAGAATACCAGGTGT